CGGTGGGCTGGTCCGCGCACAGAGCTCAAGTCTCACGGGTCTCCCTGCAGTGTAGTGACACCACACACGTCGCTGGATAAATCCACACCCACATTGTCAGGATTGGTACTGGTGTAACCTGGCTTTGATTGTTCCTTTCAAATACTTTTACATTTATAAGAAAAAACTGTAGAAAAATTGTAAAATGGCTCCTCCCACAGGTCCTGAACATCCTCATTTCAGGTGACTTTTCCTGAACACAGGAAGGGAGCATTTTGATGGACAAGCTCCCACAATCCACACTGGCCACACCCGGACAAGTTGTGACGATGACGGAACCCATCTTTCCTCCTTCATGCATTCATTCACCATCGCTACCGTCATAAGGAAGGCCCATATTTATAAGGACGTCTATCTGAAGACATGTTAAAACTACTTAATTTATGCTCAGATCCATGAATACTGCCTAAATGGCCTTTTACCCATTAATTGAATTGAGCAATCATACAAATCACGAAAAAACTCCCAAACTCATCATAAATGCCAAAGTTATATGCTTTATTTTTAATCACGTAATTTCTTTAGACCTCAAAATATCCATAGTTGACAGAATAAGACACTAGGCATTGATAGAATAAGACATTAGGCATAAAATGAGAATATAAACCCCACAGTCTGCAGAAAGGCCAGCAGTACTTGAGCCCGTCGGAATGACTGTACACAAGTGAAGCGCCATTTGCAACATCTCCTTTTTTGTCCTGTAAAAACATACAGTTCAAGTGTTTCACTTATTTCCACTTGTAAACAACATGAGTTACATTGGACAATGAGGCAATCTAAATACTACACAGGATAATTTAAAAACACTAGATAAAACTGTATTAAAGACATATAGAAATCAGTGTTCACTTTGGTCTCTAGTATGGTTAGGGTTGTGAATACAAAAAAAAAAAGAACAAAAACCAAAAAAACCAACAACACATACTTATTAAAGCCAGCTTGGTGGTTGGTGCCAGTGGTTGACAGATGTAAGTAATTCAAGAGGTAGTCAACACCATCATTTTCAAGCTGGTAACTCTCACAAGTGTTAAGCCACAGATGTATTAAACATCATAATAGTTTCTCACAGTACAGTACTTTGCCATAACTTTGCAGCTTCGCTCCACATATAAAATTTAAAAATGATTCATAGGTGAACTTCTCACTCTAACTGAACTATGACACAGATCACACAACCACCACATCTTAAAGAGGCTGATGACAGCTATGTAAGACAGACTTTGATGCTTTTAACACGTTGTTCTTCCCTAAAACAAATAGATCTCATTAAGACATCTAGAAAATTAAAGTCAGTGCAGCTGCACTTGTACATACTTTCCCAATTTTTATAACCAAAGGGGAGATACACAATATATATTTTATGATAAACATTTCTTACAGAAAACAGATAAATTAATTTAAATTAACTTTAAGACTTAATGAGATTTCCCATGTCCTGTATAAATGTTACAAAGTCTATTAACACTTATGGGCTTCTATTCACAAACTAAATACAACTAGCAGTAACTTGGGGCCACACTGGTGCAAGAGTATTTTAAAAATCGGCAATAAAAACATCCTGTTTTGTAGGTGGATTGATGCTTATTAACAACATGATGTTTCCTGATCTTTCCCCCTACATTGCACGCCAAACTTCCAAGTCATCATAAGCAGGTAAAAATCGTTCTATCTTTCCATTGTAAAAATACACCCAAAGTCGTCTAGTAAAGACTAGAAATGCAAGTATAAAAATGTTTCCACTATAATCTGCCATGTAGCAAACGAATACCTCACAGGGCTGAGATTGGTAAAGCATCTTTCTTAGGAATTATGTTTGTGTTGACATGGGGGGTGAGGTCAAGGGGCAAGTAATTCACAGACCTCCTGCCCAACCCATGAGTAACCCCTGTAAACTGATGCTTCACACAGACCTTATCCCTTAGTATCTAGAAATGGCAGTGCACGTCCACTCTACGTCCACTCCTTGGCAAGCCAGTGCTAGTAAGTTGTGTGCCTAGGGCAATAATGTTTCAATATGCTTGGCTTCAGGGCAGCACAGAAACACATGAGGGAGATTGGCATCTTTTATACTGTTTGCCCAGCATGAATAAACTCATACACACCTCTCCTCCTGCTATCCCTTCCTGCCTTGACCTCCGGGCAAATCAGCTATTTCCAAGATTGCTTCTGTGTTCTGCTTTGCTCAAGTGTAAGAGTGCCCATAATTCTTTCAACTAAGTACATGATAGATTTAAGGAAATCCTTGGAGACTTTGCTAACTAAATGAGATGCTTCATTATTCACAAGTTTTTGTCAAAAACATGCAGCTGTGAATTGCTATCTATAGTATAAAAGGTTCTGTACCAGAGAATTATCAGCCACTGTGCGGCTGGAGCAGCATAAAGGTGTGCTATGCATCAACTACGAGGTAGCCTTTTGTTGTAAACAGAGTTATATTTCACCCACGTAAATGGACACTGTGCTCACATCAGTGATATTCACATATACGAGGAGTTCAGGAATTCTGCCTTAGAGTATTTTCACATGAAAGAAAAGTAGGAGAACTATTACCTGAAATTCAGAAATTCTGATCTATGTCAAACAGAGGTAGTTTACTAACACCAGCATATAATACTTATACAAAGGTCAGTTATTTGGTTTGTTTTGAGTAAGCAGGACTGTAGACTATTCTGTAAAGAAACAACATCATCATCATATGGTATGTTCCCTGAGCAAAGTTCTTTGTCCTGAGTACATTATGTAATAGTGATAATATTCTTATATAAAAAATAAACCCCGACTTTTTAATCATAAGATAGGTTTGGTATGTGGTCTTAGTTCAGTCTGGTTAGATGCTTAAAATGATTTTAAATTGCACCCATAGGTCCACAGTTATAAAATGTCTTTAAAAAAAGAAATGACTTCGGCTCTGAACTTTTAAACATGGAAACAGGGCATGTCCAATTCTCAAGTCCATAACTTATTTCTATAAGGTCAAGGAACTTTGGTTTGAACTTTCAAAGTGACTTATTATGTTTTGCATTTTTACTGTTAACCTGCTTATTATACCTGCTAAAATTTAAGCAATGCCACTTTGATTTGTCTACATAATTTAAATATGCTTACAATCCTCACATAAGGCGAGGAAGGACTTCTCTACAGCTATATCACATTCAATATCGTCAAAGGTAAGTGTTGCATCACTACACACTGGTCCTTCAGTATGCGCGCCACGGAGATGCTCACAAACTTTGCGGTGGAATTCCAGTTGAGCCCTAAAGGACTGGTGGCCCAGCCCCAGGCGTGTGTCCTTCTGCCCGGCCTGCCGCCGCTGCAGCAGCTGCACACGTCTCCTACAGCAGGACGAGTGGGGGTGGGGCGGAGACTGTTCACTAGAATAGGTCTCATTGGATTTTCTTCTCTTTCTTTTTTTGATTATCTGAGCTTACACCAAAACTGTATTTGTCAATGTTAAGCATTACAAGGAATTGGTACCTTCTTGGAGATGTTTCAGAAATATACCCATAACATCTATAAACAGGGTGACACCAAAATGAATTTTTCATGACTGAAACCTGAAAGGGACCAATACTATGTTCCCTAACCAATTAATTAACATAACTGAGGACCAGCCTGAGAAGCGTCTTTATCCCCATCACTGCATGTTCATCCTGGATCCACCATACAGATTACTTTAGCATGAGTAACCAAGGGAACTCATGTGAGATCAATTTTATTGTATAAAATCCTTCTAGTTCTCTGGTAGGAGAGGCTCTGGTACCTCTGCCTCAGGCTCATCACTCTAGTTGCCTCTCACCAAACACCCTCCAACATATCCAAGATCATACATATTGGGCAATTCTGAGCACCCACTTAGTTTACCCTTAACCCTGGCATTTTATTCGTATCTCTGATGTTTTGTTTATTTTGGAAACAAGTTGGATAACTCTCCAGGGGGAATAAAACTAGCCACCAAAATATATACCAAACAACTGGAGTTTTCCTCCAAGGTCTTCAGTAGTAAACAAGGAGAGCCCTTGCTCAAAGTGATGGTTAAAAGGACTGATTTAGTCCAGGGAAGCTGCTGCTGCCACAGTCCCCTAGAAAACCTCACAACAGGTAAAAGGTAATAAGCCGGTCACAAAATACCACTGGAAGCAATCAAGTCACTATGTTTTTACATTGCCCTCTCCCATTCCTTTCTCTTAATAGGCATCTAATTTACAATAAAAATATATGAAATAAAAACATTGAAATATCGGCACAGAAGCTACACATTCATTGTCTTTTCTGGAGTTATGCTTCCTGGATTCAAAAAACTCATGGCAGTCAGAGGCAGATGGAGTTAAGGTACTGCCTTCAGAGGGGGCAGGGGCACGGGACAGATAACAAGAAAAAAGGCAATCCCAAACTTGGGGGGACTAATTATTTAAAAACCTTTAGTACCATGTGATTGGCAGCTCTGAGATCTGAAGTGTCCTTTGGTTTACACGAAAGGTAACAGTCGTGTTTTTATTTCTGTGTGATGTAAAGGGAGTGGTATTTCAAGAAAAACTCCAGGGGTTGTTTCTGACACCATCTAAAACGCTTCACACAAGTGTTTAGTTCTTGGGGCTGTCAAATTCTGGGAGGGAGGGTGCGTGCTTGTATCTCTATACACACATGTACAGAGACAAACTCTATATATGTGTGTCTACATCCCTATATAAATCCTTCCACACACACACCGCACTCAGGCTCTCCCCCTCTCACACATGCACATACAGGTATACATAGTATCTCATTCTCTGGATTACATAAAACATGACACCCTGCTCAAATGTAATTTGCTTAGAGTGATTTGTCTGTTTAAAAAAATTCACAGTTCCTCAACAGTAGTTAAAACCCCAGGTCAGTTGCTGTCTGTGAAATACTGTTCCCCTGTATTGGCATGAGGTAGACTTCCCAACCGGGGAAAGAAAACAATACGTTAAGAAGAAGGGTTATGTTTTTTTCCTTTTTTGAACAGAAGGCCCCTTTTTGCTTTGTTCTTCGGGTGCTGCAGACAACTTCATGGAGGAAGCTTCTTGAGGTGACCTGCCGGGCCGTTCTGAGACCTCGGACCTAGCCTCCTGAGGAAATGGGGGTGATGCACAGCTGTGCCCTCCCACCACCTCCCGTGGGAGAGCCGACGTGCATGGCTGCGAATCCGCTTCCTGTCTTCCCTGAGAACTGACGGGCGGCTGCACAACAGTTTTATGCGGGCAGTTTGCCACCATGTGCGTGATGCTCTGACAGTAATGGCACTTCTTTGGCTGAGGAGGTAGACTACATTCCTTAGCATGATGATCAAGGCCACCACAGTTGTAGCATCTGCAACAAAAATAACAAAAACAGCTTAGAAGTAGGGAGTATGTGTCAAACGTTATTTTGTGTATTGAAAAAGATACCAAAAGACACACACTGTCAATGAGATCACCTTATTTTAATGTACCTTCTTAATAAGTATGTAATGAAATTCACCATGGCAGCAGCTTCAAAGGCCATCATCACCAAAACGCTCCAGCAAAGTTACAAAGCGAGCTGCCCTCAACACGCCAGTCAACGTAACACATGAAAGCTAATGAATCACTTCCATCTAGAAAGGCCTGACAGGTTATTGTAACAGAACAGTTTAGCCCACTAGAGGGCAGCCAATGCTAAACAACCACCACAACAAAAACCCCAGCTAGCTTTAAAAGATAGTTAAAAGATACAACTGTTGACATAATACAGCAATGTGCTCAGCAACTGGAAAAGTTAAAGAGCAACTTAAATGTTATCAGTTTAACATTTCTTTGAGTATTAATTATATTGACTATGGAAACCAGTCGACTAGAAGAATATTTTTCCTTTGTACAGATTAAGTAATGCAGTGAAATTTGATATATGTGAAAATCAGATGTCTATGGTGAATGATATCTGGCAAATTACCAAGTAATTCTGGAGCAATACGGTAAGTATCTGACCCAGAAGAATGCTATAAAAGAAAGCTTCTAAATACTTAGGTTGGATTTAAAAAGGTTGGAAGAGTTCAGTGATGGAAAGAATCTACTATCCTTACTTTCTATAAGAAATTGTTTTCTCCTCAGGTAATTATTCTAAATTGAGATAAACATAAAGCCCTCCTTAGTTAGTATTTAAGTATGCATAGCTTTGTATTAGATGTTTGAAAATTTGATTTTGCTTCTAAAAGCTGAACAAGTTAAATTATTTGGAAGATGCATGCTCAATTTCAGTCAGATTTTCTTCTAAAATTTTATATTAAAACAACAAAACAGCATAAAGTGGAGAAAATAAAATTTGATAATTACAAATGTTTTTACTCTACTTTTTGAGCATAGAATTTGCTTATTGATTTGTATCTAAATGAAATATCTTAAGGACTTTCTATTTTACATTTATTTTCAAATACATTGATGACACCATAATTCTCATTATAAAGCACAAACAGTAGGTCGCAAAGTTTTAAGAAAGAGCAAAAAAGTGGTAATTGTGAGAGTCAGCTTAAGAATATTATAACAAAATAATTGTAATTAGATTTGTGTGTGTGAGAACAGCAGTAATGTAAGTAATAACTTACATTACCATATATTTCAAAGACAAGCTAGTAAGCTAATACTAATCTACTGAGCAGTATATGTAGGATACTTGGTATTTTATTTTCTGGGATATGTTATAAAGAGTGAAATTTTTACTTGGCAAAAACTAGGAAAACTATAGCCTGCCTCTCCAGTTATTAGTGGTACCTAATAGATGCTAGAATAATGAATTCACAAGATGGGCTTTTATTCTTTGCGATATTAACAAGTATTTTACCTAGGGGAAAAATATAACATATTATCAAAAATTAAAGGGAAAAACCAAGACAGTTCTTTTTCTAATTAAATTATTTATTGTGTAATTACATGCCTTAATATAATAAATAAAACTTTGTAACTAAAACTACAATGAAGTTTCACTATTGTTTCAGCCATGTGTTTTAAAAGATAATGCAAAATTAAAGAATAAAAATCGCTAATGCTGGAAATTCAGGTCTCCAAAATAATACTTAAAAAGGGCATCTTTCAAAAATACCACCTTTCAAAAGTAACCATATTACTTATAATAACGTTTTCCTGTATAGTTCTTTTCTATAACAGGTAAGTGAATTCTTAAATTAGCCCATCTATAAAGTATCTCCTTTGACTTAAATTCACTTTCTTGAGGATAACATCCACTTAGGAGCTCATTTTCAAAGAAAGGGAAAATGGGTTAAAGGCTGCAGTAATAGAGCAGGCTCTCCCACGGACACATCAATTTCATCAGCCACTGTGGCATATACGCGTTATCCAATTTAGGGAATCATTCTGCCCACTCATTTACCATGGGCCTGATGTCAGGATTCCGCTTTCACAAATGGGGTCTTCCATCATATTCTACATGTGCATTTACCATTACATTTGGGTTTTAAAAGTTATTTTTAAGGATACTATATAATTTTGGTTTCCTTGCATTTTGACTTGGATAGTTAATTCACCCCCACCCCCCATCTTTTCAGATATGTGCCATCATTAGGCCAGTCGGCCTTCCACTCTGAAAAGATTTGCATTCAGTGTATATATATGCTCAGCCTTTAAAGGGAAAGAGTGGTATTTATTCTCCTCTATTTAATCATTCAATGTCAATCACTCTTACTAAGAGTGCAGATCACAAACCATTATGAAACCCCTTCCTTCCCAAAGGACTGATAACCAAAATGGAAATGTTCAGTTACCTTTCAGCTCACAAAGGCTACCAGACCACATGCTCCACATACGCTGTATGTGGCACTAGTCTCCCAGGCTCACTCTCCACACCTCTCCAAATAGGGTTACTTTTGTTAGTTTGAATGAATTACACTGTGGTGTGAACATAAAAATGGCATGTGTGCATGTGTATAGCTACAAGCTTAAAAAATACAGGGGTGGGTGAAAATATGTATACATACACAAAACAGTTTATTCTTATGTTATTATTTATTGTACTATTTATTTATATTACATCTGTAAACATACTTTTGCCCATCCCTGTATAAGGGCACAGACTGACAAGCAAAAGACTATATACAAATAAACCATACTCTGTATGTATTTTGATAACCCAACTAATGTTAAGTACTTTACAAAATGATGAACCAGTGGCACAAAGGATATTTTCTCATATATTGAACATAAAGATAAAAATAAACAAAATGTTCAAATTATCTTAGGTTATCAAATTCTTCACAGAATTACTTTATACTTTAATTCCAAAGAGAATTATTATTCTCTTTAATCCTAAAGAGAGTAATATAGAATTCTAATTCTATATTACTTTTTATAGGATGTTTAAAATGGGAAATAATCATATTGGAGCCACTTTTTAAAAAGAATATCACAATTTTTAAATGAAAGAAGAAAGCCAACAATTGTTATATTAGCATCTAAAATTGCAAATAAATAAAAACAAATCTTTTAGATTTACATCTTTAGGAATATTTAATTACATTATGAAAAAAGTAATTATGAGTTTTATAAACTAAGCCCCAAAATGTACATTAATTAATAGGTTGATCAAAATATAGCCAAGTTTTCAGGATTCTATAATAAAAAATGGAAACTCTGATTAGGAAATCAGAATTCAGATCTGCTACAGTCCTTGAAAAACTTATCATTTTGGGAGTGTAGAACACCAAATAAGTAACTTATATCAGCAATAACAGAACTGAGCTCAACTGAAGACCACTAGATTATATAGACATATAGAAACACTGATTTTTAAACACCTCAATAGCTTAAATGAAACAATTCAACGACTGTGTATTTCCCCTGGATCCCAAAAGTGATTTTTAAAAATTGGCCAGAGGGGTAATACCACACACAGATGAGAGCCAGATTTGCCTGTCTAAAAATGTAGTGGATAAAAATGTAACTTAGGTGCATCTAAGTATTTGTAAAGTGTTAGTTTAATAAGAATTTGGAAACTTAAATCTGTATTTTGGGGAGTTTGGTGGAGGCATTACGAATAAGAATATGATGATTTGTAAGCTTTTCAAGAGAAATGATATATTAAAAGAACAGTAAGTAAAGCAGTATCAGGGAGAGAACATGGAGTGGACAAAAATTGCAAGATACAGGGTGGGAAGGAGTGAATATTGGAAAGGAGCACATAAAAATACCTGGAGAAGAAAAGTGAGAGGAAAAAAAAATCAATGGAGAGGAAAAAAAAAATCAATGCAGTTTCCCAATGGGAGGCCAGAGAGGCTAAAGGAAAGCCACATTGGAAAGAATTTCGAAAACTACTTTGGGAAAAAGATAACTGACTCTAAAGAGATTGTTTATCATTTTAATCTTGATACAGTCCTACTAAAATCCAGAACTAATAATACTAATAATTTTCATCAAATCTATAGTTTTCAATGCTAATGTGTCTGAACACTTGTTATCTAATTCAATTGTGTGCCAATCAACCAAACACGGGGAGCGTTGGATCCAAGTCTGATGGTGGTGGGAGGTGGATGGGCAGAAATGCCATCAGAGAACCCGAGAAAGATCAGGAAAAGGAAAGATCCAGAGTTTAGCTTCTGTAAGCAGTCTGCCCACTCTGTATTTCCTGAGGGCAAGAGAGAAAGATTCTAAGACCAACCTTCCAGATGAATGCCCCATTTTGTTCTGGTATCTCCCAAACAATCTAAATTTATACTTGGGTATAGTTTGCCCACAGCATACAATCTGCTCCAACATATCGAGGGGAGAGTTAGAAAACTTGGATGAATCACAGAGCTGGAAATGCCTTTCAAGACAGTGCACATGTTCTCTGACCTCTATCAAAGCAACCTATTCTTTATGCGAATTTATGCTTCTTTTAATTTCCTCCTTCTTACATCCAAACTCCTAAGACCATAAGCCAATTAAATAATAAAACACTTAAGTAAACTGTTAAGAGTCTTCCTAAGTACAGTGGTAAGAATAGTATTCAGTTTTCAAAAATATTAGTGGTGAGTCCATGTTCTTTTAAAAAGGTTCTTATGGAACAAATACATACATAACACAAAAATTATTTATTTGTATCTTTCGAAATACAGAACTCCATATCCCCCTTAATTACTTTAATGCTAAAAATAAAGTAACCTATACACCACAACAGGGCTGAACATAATGTTAACAGAATTAAAATGACAATAACAGAAATTATAATAGGCTCAATTTATTGAGAGCTTACTATGTTCCAGACACCGTATAAAAGGTTTTGAATGTGTTGTATAATTAGTCCTCCCCCAAGTCCTATGAAGTACTGCTATATCTACTTGTACGGATGAAAATATTTAGATTCAG